GGTTGGGGGGGGCGAAGCCCCCCCCACTGAAAAACAAAAAAAATCAAAATCAAGATCAAAAATTTTAAAAAAGTTCAGACTTGGAAATTGTTTAAAATCAAATTTCTCAATTTAATTGGGTAAAATTTCATAGACAGTCTTGTATTTATCAACCGATTTTTCGGGGATCAAATTATTCCTCACTTCTTGTCCTGATTTCGAAATTTCTGGTGGAAGATTTTCATCATTCCAGTTGTTATTTTCATCATTTTCATCATCCAGACACAGCTTTTTATTTGGCGGAGAACCGACGGTTGCTTCGGTGAGGAATGTCGAATCTCCACCAAATAAATCTCCCGAGAGATCAATCTCCTCGTCACTGTCGGGTATGATGTGGTTGTCCATTTAATTTCACTGCTTTTATATTGAATAAATGAATAAATTTAACGACAGAATATTGAGAGGGTTATGTGGATACCAACAAGTGACGCAGTGGGCGATGTTATGAGTCGATGCGCAATGGATGTGTGGAATCCAACGATGATATTGCAACGACCATTTGCGCATCGATCTGCGCATCGACCCGTGCATTTGCGCATGCCCATGGGTTACGCACAGATGATTACACAGATGTGTAGGGTTCCACACTACAGTGTTTCACACCCGGCACTTTCTGTGCGTCGACACTCAACTGAAACCGGCCGGATTTCACGCACGTATGGTATAAAATATATTTTTGCCAAATATTCATTTACTTGAGCGAAACATTTTTTTTTTGAAAAGCATTTTTTGCCAATCGAGTCATTCCCAGGCGAGCCTGATTAGGTTTCAATTATGATAATGATGTTACTCTAGAGAATGACTATGTTGAACATTACCTTGGATGAATTTGTCCAATGATTATTCATTTTTCCTAAATTTCTAATTTTTTACAGGGAACAATTTCAATTAATTTTTTAATATTTGTAATTATTGAGGGAGTTCACTCAAGGTTATGACTAACATGATCATCTTTTAGAGCAATATAATTGTAATAATTTAAACCTAATGAGAATTGCCTGGGAATGACTTGACTGGAAAAATACGGCATTGAAAAAATAAATACTTCTCTCAAGTAAATGGATAATTGGAAAAAATATTTTTTTTTTCTCAGTGCAGGCTCGGCTCTCAGAAAAACTCACTTTTCTAATGTTTTATTAATTGTGGCGCAAAGAAAATGTACTGAAGGACAGCAAATAAATTGAAAAGAGAATTCCTGGGGTTTCAAAAATTTTCGGATATTAGATTTATTTTTATCTTGATTTTTGTTCCACGTGCGGCGCGACGCTCATATAGCCCGACCACCGAAAGGTTAAGCTCGAAATAGTATACAGGGTGTCCCATTTGAGAAAATGCGGCCAAATATCTCCCAAGGCGGGCGAGTAACAAAAAAAGGTTCAATACAAAAATTGTAGGGTTTCGAAGAGGATATTCGATGCATTCATTATTTTGAGCTTTCAAGTTCATGCTTGCAAGCTGCAAGCACAAAGTGCTTTTTTTCAAATGACAACCGTATTTTTCATCCCAATTAAACTTGTTCATCTTGATGAGTTGTTTTCAGATACCTCGTTATTCATGTTATTTCAGATACCTCGTTATTCAATTTCCCCTAATTTTGCTCCAAAACTGTCACAAAAAAGAGTTGTGTGGTCAAATTGAAGATTCAAACATCCTTGGCGCACCTTGGTGTAATTGTTCCGTTGACCTGTTTACCAACCGGAATTATCAAATGTAAAAAATAAACAAAAAATTTTCCTACTCCTTCTAGGATTCTTTTATTGTTATCAGTGCCAATTCAACCAGAATCTAATTAGTATCATTTCATTGCACACATCAAGATGTATTCAGCCAGTGAAATTGACGATATTTCACTCGTTCGCGTTGTTTTACATGTTCGCGCTATTTTTTTCTTTTTTTTTAGCGCAAGGGATGCGAAGCAGACTACCTCGATGTTGTATATCCTGGGTCCCGCTAAAAAAGTCTGAAACTTCAATTTGACCACAGAACTTTTTTTTGTGGCATTTTTCGAGTAAAATTAGAGGAAATTACATGAACGACGAGGTATTTGAAAACAACTCATCAAGATGAACAAGTTTTAATGGGGTGAAACATGCGGTTGCCGTTTGAAAAAAGAACTTTGTGCTTGCAGCTTGCAAGCATGAGCTTGAAAGCTCGAAATAATGAATACATCAAATGTCCCCCTCGAAACCATATAATTTTCATTTCGAACATTTTTTTGTTACTCGCCCGCCTTAGGAGATATTTGGGTGCATTTTTTCAAATGGGACACCCTGTATTATGTCATTAGGACCGTAGACGGAGGTTTGCGATGAGGGCTGCTAACTCACACGAATCGCAAACCGACGTCACGGTCCGTATGACATATACTATTTTTTGTCACGAAGGCCCGATGAGGGGAAGGGGGTGGGGGGGTGGGGGCGCAGAAGCGGGGTCCAGGGGCCGCAGGCCCTGATGGGCGGGGTTGGAAGAAAAAACCACTGAAGAAAAAATAAATGTCAAAATAAAAAAAATTAAAAAAAAAACAAAAGAAAAAAAATCGAATGAAAAATTTGAAAATACCTATCAATGAAACCAAAAAGTAATAATAAATAAACTTTCTAACGGATGCCTAGAAAAACATGGATTTTAAGGAAGAGAGTTGCTTAAAATTACAATAAAAAAGACGAGATTTTGGGGATGAAGAATAATGCTTGAGTTACAGTGAGATGATGCAATAATTTCACAACGGAATAACCTCTACTGTTGTAACCGATTAGTTACTGAGAACGCCGCCAGTGCTGCTGAATCAACTCACTAGGCCAGTTACTAGACGGCTCGCTTACCGCGCATACCCAACCGACGGCCATATCGCCCATATCGGCTCACTTCATATTGCATTTGTACGTAAGTCATGAGGGTTACTCATCTAGTAACTATATAACTTTACGGGTCGACCCGAAAAGTCTCATTTACTATAGCTGGTCCTCTTTACAGTACTCTTTACGGTCCCGGCCAGCTCAGGCCAGCTAATCGCCGTTTACTCCCTCTGAACACAGCCCCCGTAAGCGCCACTTATCGGGCCTCAGTGACGAAATAGTATTTTTCCGGCCTGTTGCGATGGGGTTTTTTACTCGTGTGGCGTTAGCCTCTGAGCCGTAGGCGAGGACTGGCCAACCACACGAGTAAAAAAACCCCATCGCAACAGCCCAGGAACAATATTTTTCTGTAGTGATTTTCAAGTTTTCGAGTTTGGGAATTATATCGTCGCATTAAAATCAAAGGGGCGTAAGTGCCAAAAAACCCATTTTAAAAGTGAAAGGGGCGTATGTTCCGAATTCCTGTTTTTTCGGTTTTTCATGGAATTTCTGACCAAAAATCGGAAAAAAAAAATCTAGGAAAAAGGCGTAATTGCTATATTTCAACGGGAAAGGGGCGTATCTCCACACTTACGCCTGTTTCATTTCATTCAAAAAATGACACTTACGCCCTTTTTACATTATGTGTTGTGACTTCGGATGACACATTTCATGTTGAAATAAAGCGAAAAGGGCGTAAGTCCCACATACGCCTCTCTCATTATATCTTAGGTCTACTCGCGATAAAGAGTTTTATATTGTTATATCAACATAAAACGCTTTAACTATTTTCTTCTTCCTTTATGGTCTCATTTTCTTC